AAAAAGCACTGAATGGCTTCAGGGTTTCAGGATTAGCTTTTGCTTCCTGTCTCTTTCAAGACACTTCTCAAATACATTGCACATAACGTAGTTTGTAACCATGCCCATCCTCTGTCACACCAGTCTACACGTAGCAGAAGTTGTATTTAGTGGCGATTCAAAGTGGGTTTTTATTGTTCTGGCTTAATTTTTTTCTTTCATTTATATTAAATCCAGGGTCTCACACATACTCAGGATAATGTTTTAAACATGAACAACTTGAAGGGGACTCCCACACAGCCGAGGCTCTCTCTCAGACCTTGGATTAGGCACAAACCACACTCAAACACCTGTTTTTACAGAGAGTCTTTATTAAGCTGGGAAGAAAAGTTAAAGTGGCTGCTTTCTGACTCAGGCAGAAAAACAGCAGCAAATGACCTTGTGGGTGTAATTTTAAGAAAAGAAAGAGGGGAGGTCTGTATTAGAATGGGTGGGCTAGGATGCAATGGTAGAGGAGATAGAGGACACTCAAGAAGGGGAAGAGGACAAGGGAAAGGGGCCAGGGGTATTTGTCCCCAAGGGACAAAGGACTGCCTCTGGAGAGTGAGGAGACAGATGTGGCCCATAGGCAAATGGTGGTTTATAAAGGTAAAACAGGAAACCCTGTGTTAGAATGAGGCCTTTAATTTTAATTGGGCATGTTAATTAGGTGAACCAAAGGAAACGTTTGATTGCTGGACTTGATAGTCAGCCTCAGGAGGAGGAAGTGGCCAAATAAGGGAATAGACCTTGGTGGCCAACTTTAGGAATGTAATCTAACGGTTTTTAGCAAGGCAGAGGGATGGGGAGAAGGGCAAGGCCTGCCAGAGCCACATGCCCAAGTGGGCTGGTGTCCCTTCAACAACTGGCTAGGCATGGGTGCACACACCTTTAATCTTAGCACTTGGGAGGAAGACTCAGGTGGATCTCTGTGAGTTCTGAATGTTGTAATCAGAAAGGGTGTGGCCATCTTCCAGCTGCTTGCCAGCAAAGATGAGCCTCTGCTGGTCAGGAGGTATGCCCTTTTTGTCCTGGATCTTGGCCTTCACATTCTCAATAGTGTCACTGGGCTCCAACTCTAGGGTGATGGTCTTGTGAGTCAGGGTCTTCACGAAGATTTTCATTTTGGCCTGTTAACTAATGTGACAAAACTATTAATTTTATATACCAATCAAAGATCCCTCTTTGCCCTCCTCCTGTCCCTCCAGCCTCCCTGTCCCAACCCACCCCCCATTCCCTCCTACGAGAAGGTAAGGCCTCCCATGGGGAGGTACATTTAATAGAGGCAGGTTCAAGCCCCTTCCTTGGGGAGACATTTCTATTAGCCACACAGTTTAGATGAACAGAGCTGAGAGATTATCTCTGTTTAAGCTTGGTTCTCTAACCCCTGACTATTCTCATAGTTAATAGTAATATGGGCTGCCTTATGCTTTGTTGGAATGACAGAATGCTGTTCTAGCACCATTATGGGCGCCACGGGGATGCTTAATATAGTGGCTGTAAATGTGCGTTTTGGAATCCTTTAGCCTGGATTTGAGTATTTTTTTAAATAATTTATTTAACTTTATTTATGTCCATTGGTGTGAAGGTGTCAGAACCCCCGGAACTGGAGTTACAGACAGTTGTGAGCTGCCATGTGGGTACTGGGAATTGAACCTGGGTCCTCTGGAAGAGCAGTCAGTGCTCTTAACCGCTGAGCCATCTCTCCAGCCTTGGATTTGTGTTTTGACTCTACTGTTTAGTATTTGATTAACTTAGAGCAAATTATTTAACCTCTCTAATGCTTCCTTTTTTTTTTGTTTGATTTTTTGAGACAGGGTTTCTCTGTGTAGCTTTGCACCTTTCCTGGAACTTGCTTTGTAGACCAGGCCGGCCTCGAACTCACAGTGATGCTTCTATTTTATCAACTATAAAATGGACATAATAATTACCTATCTCATACAACTGTGAGAATTAAGTAGGGTTAATAAACATTGTTAGTTGCATGTGTTGCCCATAAAAAATAAATACTAGTTATTTTTATTGCTCACTCTTGTTTGTCAATTCAGTTTCTTTTCTTTTCTTCCTTTTTTATTTATTTATTTTTTTTGAGACAGGGTCTCACTGTTTTCTTGTTTTGTTGTGGAACTCATTATGTAGACAAGGCTAGCCTCGAGCTCATGGAGATCCACCTGCCTCTGCCTCCTAAGTACTAGAATTAAAGGTGCGCGCCACCATGTCTAGCCTGAGATTATGATTTCTTATTGGGATTATTATTAAGATCTTAGGTTCATCTTCATTTGTTTGTATGTTTATTTGTTTGTTTGTTTTACACAAAAAGTCTTACTGTATATCCCAGTCTGGACTAGAGCTTTCCATCTTCCTGCCTCAATCTCTAAAGTACTGGAATCACAAATGAGCACCACTGTTCCTGGTTGAGTTTGCCTTAGGGACAGATCCTGCCAGACCAACCTCATGCATATTAGACTAGGAGGCCAAAACAAAATATTTTGGTCTGAAGCAGTGGCGGGGTTGGGATCCTGTTGCTACATCCTGCTCACTTACATGAACGGAAGCGATGGCTCAGGCCCCGCCTGCAAACCACAACTTTATTTTGATCCGGCTTGACTTGACAGCTTCTCTATTTTACCTGCTGACTTCTGTAGCTTTTATTTGGCAGCCAGAAAAGCAGCTAAACCGGTTTACAGCTCATAGTTTAGTCAAAGAAAGCTGAACAACTTTCTAAAGAAAGTAAGGATTTAAGTTGGAGTTGATACCTTTCTTTTGTCTCCTTAAGTTTTCCTTTTTGTTTCAAACTATAGAAAAGTTATATTCACAGCCGGGTGGTGGTGGCACACCTTTAATCCCAGCACTTGGGAGGCAGAGCCAGGTGGATCTCTGTGAGTTTGAGGCCAACCTGGACTACCAAGTGAGTTCCTGGAAAGGTGCAAAGCTACACAGAGAAACCCTGTCTCGAAAAAACAAACAAACAAACAAACAAACAAACAAAAAACAACAAAAAAGAAAAAGAAAAAGAAAAGTTATATTCTCATTTTACAGGAGAAATGTGATAGCTTTATGGTTTCTCCTGAAGCATTGGAATCTTTGAGTGTATTTTTTCCTTCCCTCCTTTGTTCTCTCCCTTCCTCCTTCTCTCTCTCATTACATTCCTCCTTTCCTTCCATCTGTCCTTTATTTTTTTGGAGACAGAGTTTGGTCATGTATCTCAGGCCAGCCTTAAACTTGTGACTCTCCTGCCTCACCAAGTGCTGAAGTTATAGGTGTGTGCCATTATACCTGGCTTTAATTGTTTTCCTCTAACTGCACCAAGACTTTATTTTACCATTATGGTTGGAAATCTACAAGCCTATTTACTTGTTGCTCATTTTTAAGGGTATAAAAGCAGATTAACCCTTCTTTGAGTCTGGATCATCATGACCAACTGGATTTTTCAGGACAAAGGAGCTTGATGAATAGTATCAACTGTACATGGTACATAGCTATTCAAGTTTGTGTATTTGCTTTTTTTAGTGTAGTTTTGATTCTTGTCATTATCAATATAATCTCTTTCTCCTTTGCTTCTAATATACCATGAAACAGTTAATTGAAAAATTTCAATAATGAGGGCTAGGGATATAGCTTAGAGGTAGAGCATTGCCTGGCATGTACAATGCCTGGGACTAGTCCCCAGCACTCCAAAGGAAAGAAGGAAGGACAGATTTTGAAGCTGTGACTAAGGGCAGCTAGCAGCATAGCCTAAGAATATGAGATTCAGAGCTAGCTGTTTTAAAAACAAGGAGTAATTTGTTTACCTCCTGGTCTAGTTGTGCTCCAGAGAAATAGGAATTACAGAAAGTGTCTAATACTGAAAGCCATTTAGAGATAGAATGCATACTATGAATTAGTTTTGTGTGTGTGTTTAAGCACTATTTGCTTGGTTAAATTAACTTTGTTTACCACCAACCCCCTTTCTTCATGGTAGTTTAAGGTGAGGATACTCCCCATCCACTATTGCTCTGTTATGAGGAGAAGTGTAAAATGTATGTAAGGTGTTTGGGCTTCTGTATCCATAGAAGTTATCACCTTCACATCTTTGGGCAATGTCGGTGAAACTATGAACACGAAGGAGCGATATGTCCTTTGGTAGATCTAATTTACAGTAGCTAGCTTTGACATTGTCTTCACAAGCATGTTTTCATTTAGTCCTTGGATGATAGATCATGGACATTAGAATATGACAGTGAAATATCCATAAATCCACTGTTTAATAAAATAATCTTCTCGAAATTAAAATACATGACAAGTTGCTGCAGCATTTTGTCATCTCTGCTGTGTACCGCTTTTGCTGTGGATGAAAATGAATAAGCAATTCTGGAAACCAAGGTCCACTGGGAGTATAACTCTTGTGGCTATTAATGGATCTAATTGTATTTCCTCTCTGCCACCAAGATGTGCAGTAAAGTTGTTTATGTCCTTTTCTTTAATGGAGAGGATTGTTCATTAAGTGTGTGTAATATCATAATCACTTTATTTTTATTACCAAAGAGTCCTAAAGCTTTCCTTTAAAAAATTAAAACAAAGAACTGTAATAACATTTTGAAACAATATCTAGTAATCCTTGATTGACTTTTCCTCCCATGGAGAATAAAGAAAGGATTATTTCATTGGAAAAGCAAGCCCATCTCATGGGACTGGAAATGGGAATGGACTTTTTTTTTTAAGCAAGTGATACAGTTACTTAATGTCCTAGTAGGACTTAGCTCCAGGTGCCACTGAAATGGACACAATGGCCCTGAATGGTGAGGCCTCATCTTTTTGAAATCCTTTTAAGAGTAATTTTAAGGTATTCTCTTTCTCTCTCTCTCTCTCTCTCTCCCTCCCTCCCTCCCTCCCTCCCTCCCTCCCTCCTTCTCCCTACCCCCCTCTGGCTCTCTCTCTTCTCACTCAGGTATTTTCTTCCTATTATATATCTAAAGAAAAAATCAGTAGCAGTCTCATTTAAATCACATTCTAGAAAATGCTTTTAATTAAAATTTGATTTCTCATTTGACTGTTCTTGGCTGTATGCGTTTTAATGTCTCTTTACCTACCCCTTCTTGGTGCTGTCTTTTAATGAAAATACACATGTCAAGCAAATGCTCTATCAGTTGTTGTAGATACAGTGACAGAATAATGAACAAAATAGAAAAATTCTAGCTCTTCTGTGGTGATATTTTGTGTATGCTCTAACAAATAAAGCTTGCCTGAAGATCAGAGGGCAGAGCCAGCCACTAGATAACCATAGAGGCCAGGCAGTGGTGGCACACACCTTTAATCCTAGCACGAGGGAGGTTGTACGTTCTTTGTTTTGCAGTGTTAGAGAGCCAAAGCAAAGGTACTCTACTGCTGACACAATATAGAATTTATTGGCCATTGTATAATTTTTTTTTTCTAACCAAGAATGCAGTTGTTGTGGTTTTATTTAAACACAAATAAAGCACACAGGCAAGCCATCTACTCGGTTTCTTCGCTGGGTAGCCGGGCATTGGGATTGGTGACTCTGATGGCCAGCTGTGCTGCTCTTTCCACGATGGCTTTTTGGTTCTTGGAGGAAACGTTGTGAGCAATCTCAGCACAGTAAGATTTGTTGCACATCAGCCCCACTTCCAGCTCCTTGACATTGTGGACCAGAAACTTCTGGAAGCCGCTAGGCAGCATGTGCTTGGTTTCCTTGTTGCTCCCGTAACCAATGTTAGGCATTAGGATCTGGCCCTTGAATCTTCTCCGCACCTTGTTGTCCGTACCTCTGGGTTTCCGCCAGTTTCGCTTAATTTTGACATATCGGTCTGACTGGTGCCGGATGAACTTCTTGGTCCTCTTTTTGACCATCTTGGGCTTTACCAGAGGCCGGAGGGCAGCCATGATGCCGCTAAACAGATGGCAGCCACCTTGCAGGCAGCGCCGAGGAAGAAGCCATTGTATAACTCTTGATTTAACCTTGAGTAAGAAGGCAAGTCATTTAAGGTTTAGGGCTAGAAAAGAGGCATTATGATTACTTCAACCTCAGTAGAACCACTGGCCTCTGTGCAGAATCATCCTGAGAAAAGGGCAGGGGCATGGTAGGAGGCTGTGATGATGGAGGTGGGAGCAGGATGGGAAATCAGAAGATGAGGATCCTGAGTACATTTTCAACCAGGTTTGAGGTATGACAAAGCAAAAGGATTCAATAATAAGTTCAGTGTTTCATTTAACTGCTTTGTGTTTGCTTTCTGTTTTGGTTTGTTTTTCATGTCATTATCATCTCACTGTCTTAGTGACATGAAAACAGTGTCTGTAACAGGACACCTCAGAACAGTTTTGGAATTTGTTTCCATATTTTGCCATTTATGGTTCACTAGAAATCTGTTTCCTTGAGAATTTACTAGGTTATAGAATAATTGGTAGGTTGGCACCTTATGTGTTAAAGATCTAGTTACATTGTTCATGTGTTTTAGGCCATGATGTAACCACTGGAGCAGTTGAATCTCAGCATCTGTAATTATTCTGCTGTGTATTTACTGTGCTAACTTACTCTGATGAATGCTTATTGGATGCTTTTTGAAGAGATGATGTATTGCAGAAGCCATTGATAACGGTAGCTTCAGTCCTTTGTCAGTAACCTAGTGAAACTGAAGATTAAAAAACATGTTTTTTGTAAAATCACTAGTTTGCTGTAGCATACTTCCTGTCTGACCTAGGAGCTCAGCAAAGAGGAATCCTGCTGCAGAATGATCTAATTTGTGTAATCTTGAAGGTGGAACTATTTTTGAAAGAGAACAGAAAAATAATAGGGCCCTTTGCTCCTGAGTGCCAAACTGTATCTCATTGACTTAAAAGGAAAGGGACTCAGATCTTGTACTTTGAGTTCCTGTTTCCTTTACTGTGTCTAGATTAGGTTTATGATATTGTCCTTATGTAAGCGATGGCTGCTGGGTTCTTCTTTACCTGGAACTCGCTCTGTAGATCAGGCTGGCCTCCAACTCAGATTCACCTGCCTCTCCCTCCTGAGTGCTAGGATTAAAGCAGTTACTAAATTCTAGGTTTAGAATTCTTTAGTTCTCTTTATAGTTCCTGTGATAAACTGATTAATTTTTTTTAATGCGTTGAGAGACAGAGTCTCACTCACTCTAGTCCTGACTGGTCTCCGCCTCTGGGGTTCTGGGATTACAGGCATGAACTACCATTTCCAGCTTAGACTGGTGGTTTATAACTGGTTTTCAACCCAGTCGCTCTATATGGCCCTTTTTCTATCTTGAAAGAAATGCTTATATAATAAAACTTATTGACGTGTTTGCATTGTCTTTACTGCAATACAGAAGAAATAAAAGGTGTATTAGTTATAGTCAGGAGGCAAACATAAATAAGTGCACTCAGCGTATTAGGAGCCATAGCTGTTGTGTGCCTGAGGGTACATGTAGCTTTATCTTTGTGGATATGACATCTATGAATAGAGTTTGATTTAGGTGTGTTGCATTGGTGACTCAGATGACATGTGGCAATGCTATTGGAATATGATTTCCCAAAATAGTGAATAAATCTTTAAGAGTTCTGCACAAAATAGAGTGAAGTCTGTCCTCTATGTGCATGGAGTTTACATTCTATGCTAAATGGTTAAAGAAACAAACTTGTTTGGATGAAGACTTAGATAATTACAAACTGCTTTTTACTTAAATATATATGAATGGGACTGAAGACTGATTTTATAAAGCTGATGAAAGTAAATTTTGGAGCTCTTTCGCATGCAAAGAGTTACTTCCATGGTCTACATCTAATTAAAAAAATCAAACAAAAACTTTATTGAAAGTGTCATATGTGCTCAGAAAAGTACGTAATTTAGTAAGTACAATTTAGTGAACTTTTATAAGCTGAACATACATATTTAGCACCCACATCAAGAAGCTGAGCTTTTTTTTAAATTTATTTTTATTGCACTGGTGTTTTGCCTGTGTGAGGGTGTTAGATTTTGGAGTTACAGACAGTTGTGAGCTGCCATGTGGGTGCTGGGAATTGAACCCAGGTCCTCTGGAAGAGCAGCCAGTGCTCTTAACGGCTGAACCATCTCTCCAGCTCAAGAAGCTGAGCATTTCTAATCTTAGAACGTCACCTTGCCCTCATCTAATCACAGCCTCTCCCACCTGCCACCAAAGAAACCAGTAGTCTAACTTCTGACAGTATAAGATAGTGTTGCTTGTTTTAGTGTGTGCGTTTTGTGAGTCTTTCACAGACGAGCTGTAGTTCATCTCTTCTTGTTGCTGCATAGTATTTCATGGTATGGATACTGTGGTTTCTTAGTTATTCTGTTTATGTTGGCTGTGTGGGAGATTTCTAGTTTTGAACAATTTTGAATGTTGGTAGATGTATGCACTCATTTCTCTTGAATGTGAAGTTCTGAGTCACACTGTACGTGTTTTCACATTTATATTGTATGGTAGCCTTTGTTGCTCCATGTCTGTACTAACAGTTGGTATTTGCCCTTTTTGTTTTAGTCATTCTGGCAGGGGCTAAGATGGTTTCTCCTGTGGTTTTAATTTACATTTTCCTTTTCCTGTTTTTGCCTGTCAAGATCATTGGGATATTATCCTTTAGGAATTGTTGGTTTAGGTCAGTTTCCTTTTGGGGGGGATTGTCTGTGTTTCTTATTTACTTTAGGATTTCATTCTTTTTGTTTTAATAATTTACTGAGTCCCATTATATTACTGCCTGTATTTGTGTGTCTGTGTGGCCATCCACTGGAGTTTGGGCAACCTACCAGTGTTCACCACCCCAAATCCCCTACTCTCCACCAAAGAGAAGTGACTGTCCATCCTATATCAATTGTTAATAGTTCCTCAGCTAGGGGTGGGGACTTGTGAACACACACACACACACACACACACACACACACACACACACACACACACACACACACACACACCCGCCCCATCCCATGCTGGGATTTTTACTATTTTGATGTCTTGGTCATGATTTTGCCCCAGGTATCAACTGTTACTTTGAGTGAGTATAATGGCCATGTCATGTCCAAACGAGCATTTTACAGCTTTTCTTTCCATTCTCTGGTTATTACATTCTTTCTGTCTCCCCCTTTCAAGATATTCCCTGAGCCCTGTGGGGAGCTAGTGGGAAGTTGTTATAGTTGTACCGTTTAGAGCTAAACAGTCACTTACATGAATGATGGAAATGATGTGAGAAGTTACTCATTTCTTTGTTGTATGGGATTGTAAGATGTTTGGCATTCTTTTGTTTTTTTCTGCCACCAAATATCTGTACTGTTTGCAATTATTGTCATGGTCTAGAAAGTACTTTAGAGGTATTCCCACCACCATGCCACTTTTTTTTTTTTTTTTTTTGGTTTTTTTCAAGACAGGGTTTTGCTCCTTTCCTGGAACTCGCTTTGGAGACCAGGCTGGCCTTGAACTCACAGAGATCCACCTGCCTTTGCCTCCCGAGTGCTGGGATTAAAGGCGTGTGCCACCACCGCCCGGAGCATGCCACTTCTTTGAGACTCACTTGTTAAGGACATTTTGCAGGCTGGAGAGATGGCTCAGCGGTTAAGGGCATTGGTTGCTCTTCCAGAGGTGCTGAGTTCAATTCCCAGCAACCACATTGTGGCTCACAACCATGCATCATGAGATCTGGGGCTCTCTTCTGGCCTGTAGGCAAACACGCAGGCAGAACACTATATATATAATAAATAGATAAATCTTTAAAAAAAGAAAGAACATTTTACCTTTACTATAATTATGATGTTATATTTATTGTGTGTCTGAATGCCCTCCAGTGGTTTTGTTGTTTTTTGAGATAGGTTCTCATTATGCAGTCCTAGCTGCCTGGAACTCACAGAGATACACTTGCCTCTGCCTTCTGAGCCAACTTCAGCAGTGTTACAGGTTTTTTCTTTTTCTTTTTCTTTTTTTTTTCCCCTGAGAAAAGGTTTCTCTGTATAGCTTTGTGCCTTTCCTGGAACTCACTTTGTAGACCAGGTTGGCCTCGAACTCAAAGAGATCCGCCTGCCTCTGCCTCCCGAGTGCTGGGATTAAAGATGTGCACCACCACTGCCCGGCTCTGGTTTTTTGTTTGTTTGTTTTTTTAATTGTTGATACCCATTTTCTTATTTTGGTTCTGAGCCTTAGCCTTTAACACCTCTTACTGTTTCACTTTAGCTTATTTATAGGAAGAAACCTCAAACCCAGAGGTATTTTGTTTTTGATTTTTGAAAAAATTCATATATTCTTATTTATGTGAATGAATGTTTGCCTGCATGTATGTCTGTGTACTACATATATGCCCCATGCCCTCAGAGGCCAGAAGAGGGTGTTGGATCCTCTGGAACTGGAGTTAAATACGGTTGTACTCTTAACTACTGAGATACCTCCAGTCTGTTGCTTTGCTTTTTTGAGACAGGATCTCATAGCCAGAGCTGGCCTCAAATTATCTGTGCAGTAAAGAATGACCTTGCATTCCGATCTTCCTGCCTCTACCTCTATAGGTGATTACAGGTGTGCACCACTTTGCCTGCTTTTATGTGGTGCTAGGGATTGAACCCAGGGCCTTGTTCATGCTAAACAAGCGCTGCACCAACTAAGCTACATCCCTAATCCCAAGCCAACCATTTTAATTGTTGCCATGTATATCTTCAGACTTCTATTTACAGGTTTCCTGAGAGAGTAGACTGAACACTGGACTATCAGTTCTAATTAAATTAGGATCCTTTTGGATCCCAGTCTCATTATAGTGGAAAGAAATAAAGACAACCATCTGGCTGATTGTTGGGAGTTGTTGGGAAGAGCAGGTGCAGTAAGTGTCATTTATTAGTTACAAAACCTCTAGTGTCCATTTATTTGCTAACTGGTCTTTGCCAAAACTAATGGCATAATTACCAAGATGAAGCCTGCTAAATAGTTTGGATCTGTCCAGTTTGAGCATGGGAACTAGAGCCATAATTTTTTTATGGAAATTGGCATCCATTTTCCAGGAATATGTGTGTTTATAGGAAGACGACAGGAGCACTTGCCTATTGGGATTCCTATGGCTAATTTTGGTTTTGTAAATGAAAAGTAGTAAACCACTCACTTTCCATTTCCTTCATTGTCTTATTGCTTAAAAATGCTTTGAGGGTTAAGATAAAATCACTGAGCACTTCTGTGTTCCTCAGT